GTCGGGCCCCTGACGCGATTCGAACCCGTGATCTTACGGTTGCGAGTCCGAGAGCCTAACCACTAGGCCACCGACGCCACAGAATAGTACAGCAACTTAAAAAAGGACCTCCAGTTCAATGCTCAGTTTGTGAGTTAGCCAAGCCAAAGTGGCAGAGAGCAGTAAAAACCTTTTTACAATCCAAGCTAAGCGATGAATACCTCGATCCTGGGTAAGCGTTTTTAGGCAGAGAGCCAGGTCGGGTTGCAGTGGGTGGGAGCGATTTGTGTGTGTGAGTGTGTGTGTGTGTGTGTGTGTGTGTGTGTGTGTGTGAGTGTGTGTGTGCATGTGTGTGTGTGTGTGTGTGTGTGTGTGTGTGTTTCACCAGGTGATCTTGATGCGCAACTTCACCATTGATGACCAATTAAAAAATAATATAATTTGCTAGAATTTATAAAGTATCGCGTCAAATCAGGTTCATCGTGAGCCATTTTGCTTATTTTGAGACGCTGATTCTGAATATGAAATCAGTTTGGAGATGCAATAATTATTTTTAAAATGTTGTACCCCAAGTTTAATCCCGCGCGGAGGCAAATTTTAAAGTGATTATACGTCACAACGCGCAAGCCCCACGATCTTGACAGCAGGCGACACCATATCACACAAACCCCACTATTTTTGGCTTCTCACGCCTCACTCACTACTATAAAGACTTCAAAATCCACGCATAATATATATTCATGTATTAAGGATCGTATTGTGAGTAATTTGCAATCGTCTATTTTGTGGATGAACTTTGTGGTTGCCACGATAACGCGGCCTTATATATGAAAATGACCAATTTTTGGTATGTCTTTTAAATCCATAAAAGTCAAGGCATCACATGCTTTTTCAGTTATCCTAATATATTATTTGAAAAAGTTTATTTTTTAAAATCAGTTATTGAAAAAATGTTTAAGCCTTATTTTTTTTTACTTACAAACGTCAATATCTTTAGGTAGAAATAAGATATGTAAAAAAAAGCATGTGAAATCTTGCTTAGCTTTATTTAAACCACATCTAAGCCAAGTTTCATTTAAACCCATTTACAAACTTCTGATTTTAGCAAAAAATGTACAGGAAAATATGATTTTCGAGGAAAACGCAATTTTAATTCAAAATTTGCTCTCAGAAGTTGTAAAAAAAGCATTTTAGAAGTAATATAGACTCTATATCTATTTGAGGCGTAATACTTGGTAAAATGACCCAATAGTAGCTAAACTAAAGGAACATGTCTTTTAAAAAATTAAATGATATTTTGCAGTTGAAGCCCTCATTTCAGGTACTATCTCTTAGTTATAATAGCCCAAGGCACTGGTCTTAAAAATACTGAGATAGTGTTTTGAGTATAATGTCTAAATCACGAAATTCGCGCTCATATATGACTTTATGCAGTTGTGGGCGCTGAATTAAAACCTCTACTAAAACAAAAACAAAACAAACAAAAATAACGACGAAAACAACCGCAGTAGTGTTTATTGACGAATGACGATAGAATTCTTTTTGGCGTGGGGAGTCAATCTGGCGTGTAAGCGGTAGTGTTTTTAGATTAGAGATAGTGTTCTTAGCGTACCCCAAAGTCACTAGGGTAGTGTTTACAGCATGTGCTCAAATCACTACGGTAGTGGTTATGGCATGAAAGCTTACGCCAAAACCACTACGGTAGTCTTTATTGCACGGTAGTGTTCTGAGCGTGTTACATCAGCACCTATGATTGACAATCCCCTGTCTTTGCTTTAGTTTTAGTCGGATTGTTGAAATGAGCAGATGATGGCCAGGAGCTACGTCTGCTCCCTTGTAAACTTTAACAACCTTTACTGATCTCCTGAATTTCTTGTTGACACATATGTGGTCAATCTGATTCCCAGTTTGTTGATCTGGAGACACCCACGTTGCTTTGTGTATTCTATTTATGTGGGAAAACAGTCCCTCCTATCATGAGCCCATTTGTTGCACGTATTTCCACAAATTGTTCTCCATTCCCGTTTCAGACTCCAAGTCCGTGTTTCCCCTTGATTTCCCCAAAGCCTACATTGTCGCTGCCAACCTTTGCGTTGAAGTCTCCAATTACAATCAAGATGCCCTTCCTTCTAACCTGATCAATAGTATTTTATAGCATTTTGTAGAAAGTCTCTTTCAAATCCTGGTCCTTATCATTGGTGGGGGCATATCCTTGGATAACATGAAGGTTGATGTCTTTTTCCTGTGAACGTGTATGTGTGTGTGTGTTTGTATCTCTTTCTTTCCCTCTCTCTCTCTCTCTCTCTCTCTCTCTCTCTCTCTCTCTCTCTCTCTCTCCCTCTCTCAACCACCTACTCAATATGTTGATCACTAAATTAATAATAACTTTATCATTCAGCTACCTTCTCCCGCATCCTTTTACATATTGTTGACTCACTGGCCCATAATTATATTACGTAAGCATTGCCACCCCCTCCTCCCCTTTCCCATTCACTCGTCCACTCACCCTAAACACAGTTTCTTTCTCACAACCAAGTTTCATCCCTGAACTTAGCACAATAATGTTTATCTTCTCAGTACATCCAATCGTCCTTCCATCCATCCATCCATCCATCCATCCATCCACATCCACCCACCAATCCATCTTTCCATTCACCTTCCCATCCATCCATCTATACATTCATTAACTTTTAACCACCCACCATCCACCTACATGTACTCAAACCCAGGTAAAAAAAAAAGACAGTTACACCTCACTACCTTGCTGATATCCCCCCCCCCTCGCTCCTCCCTCCCCTTTTTCCACTTGCAAACACACTTCACACCCCCCCCCCCCAAAAGTAAATAAATAAATAGAGTAAAATAAAATTAATTAATTAATTAATTAATATATATAAAATTTAATAAAACCCTGATTTTCACGAATTCATTTCTACAGTTTGTGTTCTTTCTCGGCAGATGCAATGTCCCTGAGGCTGGGTTTGAGAGTAGCGCTGGGCAGCTCGTTGACTTGTCGCTGACCTCCGCCCCTCTGGCCCCGCCCACTTCTAGCGAGCTGGGCCAGATCTTTTCCTTTCTTCTTGATTTTGAGATTAGTTTTCGAAGCTGCAGGAATAAACGGCATATTGAAAGAATGAACGATGGCACTCTGAAAGAATAAATGATGACTTCTGTTTGAGGAATAAACGACGATATTATGTTGAAAATTGAAAGAATAAATGAAGACGCATTGAAAGATTAAAACAATTTAGTTTGTTTGAGTACAGAGAAGCACATCGACACAATAATGGAGATTAAATTAATTATTATTTTAGTGTTGGGAAAAGTGAAACAGACAGACAGACAGACAGAAACGTAGATAGGACATACCAGTAGCACCCTCCAGCCACCAGTAATTCAAACGATGACACGTTGAAAGAATAAACTATATACTCGTAATATTATGACACTTTGAAGGAATAAACGAAGAACTCTGCTGAAAGAATAATAGATGTAGATGACTTCAGTTGAAAGAATAAACCTTCCTGCGTGTGTTTGTGTGCGCGCGCGCGCGCGTGTGTGTGTGTGTGTGTGTGTGTGTGTGTGTGTGTCAGTGTGTGTGTGTGTGTGTGTCAGTGTGTGTGTGTGTCAGTGTGTGTGTGTGTGTGTGTGTGTGTGTGTGTGTGTCAGTGTGTGTGTGTGTGTGTGTGTGTGTGTGTGTGTGTGTGTGTGTGTGTGTGTGTGTGTCCCCTTATCCCTCCTACTTCTTTTTTTTGCATTTGTCACCCTCATGTAACACCTCTAATCTTCGGCACTTCAATGACCTTTTGTTTTGCAAGCACCGTAGAACTCGTAGTGAATCAAAATCTGTCAGTCCTACAATACCTGTGGACATGAGGTTTATAGCTAGGGGGAACGTTCTTCTCGTTCCGGGGACTCTGCCGCTGATGTTGTTGTTTTTGCTTCTGTTGCTGCTTCTGCTGCTGCTGTTGCTGTTTCAGCTGCTGTTGTCGATTCCACTGCGGGCTGTGAATAGGCAAAGACGTCGCAATCCCAGAGTAACCGCCTTCCTGGTGTTTCTCTGACACCCCCGAATCCTCCGGTTCCCAAATATTTGGGTAAGCTACTCCGATTCGGTTTCCCACGATTCTTTCCTCTTTCCGAGGCGAGGCTGCGACAAAGCTGCCTCCGTTATTCTGGTCAATCAAATTGTCATCGGCTGACGTAAACATCGACGCGTCCAAACGGTAAAACTTTCCGAACCCCCACGGTTGACCGGACCCGGATATATTTTTGAAACCGTCCACAACAGACTTTCCGGATAACCAGTTCCAGGTCTGAACGGCGTTACTTGCGGGTGCCAGCGGCTGGTTTCTGGAACTGTTTGGAACCGGTTTCACAGCCGCCGCGCCTGGAGGTGCAGAGCTAGGGTAAGGCCGTTTGGTGGAGCCGTACAGGGCAGCCTGCCTCCTACTCCCAATGACCACGCGAGGGCCGAGGGTCGATGGAAAAGGCTGGGCTGTCGTACCCGCTTTTGTGAGTGTCTGGGCCTGCAATAACCGGTGCGCCAGTTCCACTCCGAGTTTCCTGCACTGTCGTTCCCGCTGTCTCTGGTACTCGAAAAACTTTAGTTTGCGTCTCATTTCTGGGGAGGTTTTGGGGAGGGGAGATGTTGGAAAGTCACGCAAGACTCAATTTTCTAAATTTATTTATTCATTTTTTAAATATTGTTGACTCACTGGCCCATAATTATATTACGTAAGCATTGCCACCCCCTCCTCCCCTTTCCCATTCACTCGTCCACTCACCCTAAACACAGTTTCTTTCTCACAACCAAGTTTCATCCCTGAACTTAGCACAATAATGTTTATCTTCTCAGTACATCCAATCGTCCTTCCATCCATCCATCCATCCATCCATCCATCCACATCCACCCACCAATCCATCTTTCCATTCACCTTCCCATCCATCCATCTATACATTCATTAACTTTTAACCACCCACCATCCACCTACATGTACTCAAACCCAGGTAA